AAATGCCAAACACTGAAATACCTCTCAAAACAATTACGAGCTTTCAGAAGTGGGCAATGTTGACTTCGTCCCACATAATTCCATACTCCATCTGCAGTTATACAGTCCCATTCTTGTTTCTCCATTGAATGCAGTCTCTAGGACACGCGCGTCCTCCGTTGGAATGTTGTTATATTCCTTACCATCAAATCAAACGCAAAAAAAACACACATTTCCTTCTTTTTATTTTTACCAAAATTTAAAAGAAGAATAATATTTAAACGTCAAGGTGGATTTAATAAGATATGTTTGAGATTATATGATAAAATAAAAAGGAACAGCGATTGATGGAAGGAAATGAGATAAAGCAAGTGAGACGGCATAGAACGAAATGCATCAAACCATTATTTAGGAGTTTTATTAGAAGAATGAATGATTTTATTTTATCATTAGTTAATAATTATTATAAAATTAACATATTTGAATTATATATAATTTTTTTTTTCAATTTTAGAGTGAGAGGGAGTGAAAAAGTGAGAGGTGAGAAGGATGAGAGTAATTTTAAGACAATGTTATTTAATTTTTATAACTATTCCATTATCAAACTCTGGAATTGGGGGGACAAGAAAAAATAAGTTTAAGGTAGCTTGAAAGGTATAAAATTTTTAACCATCTCATCTCATTTTATTATATTACATCAAAAAATCCTAAACACTACCTAAAGGCAGTTAGGATTTTTTAAAAAAATAAGTTATAAATATTAAATCAAACAGTTATAAATATATGAAAATATTATTAATTATAAATTAAGAATTAAAACTCTTCATTGAGATTTAAATGTATTATCTATAATTAAAATTCATGAATTTGCAATTATTTAGATTGATATTTATAACTTAATTTTTAAAAATCTTTTTGAGGATCTAATTAATGTTAAATTGATCTTTTGGACCTAAATGTGATTGTCCTAAATTTAAATAATTAAATTTATATATTAAACATATTTTTTTCAATCAAATTAAATCAGAATATGTGACAGCTAAATTTAATAATTAAGTTAATAATATGAACAATAAAAGTTGGTCATAAGATAAACAATGCATTTTGGGAAAAAATCAATTTTTGTAATTTGATAAAGAATAATTTAAATTTATTTTTTACTTAAAAAATAATTTAAATTTATGACCATCTGACATTTGGGTTTTTTTCTCTCCGTTCATATACACAAAACGCGTTTCTTTCTACTATATCAGATGTGTGCAAAGATATTCCTACCAAGTAATTAAGATAGACAAAATCATATTTATATCCTGAAAGAATATTAATAAAGCGATTTTTTTATGACATGTTTTTCTTACCTCGACTTTACCTAGTGTTTATATATGGACCACAAAAATTCTTCTTTGACTCATTCATCAACCTATAATTATATTGGGCCAAAAAAAAAAAATAAGCCTAAGACGCAAATAATTAGTCTCTGATTCCACCGAATTTCCCACGTTAATATTCAAACAATTCCTCTTTTTTTGTATCATTAGTACTTTTCTTACATTCCTTTTCATATATTTTATTCAACCACCAACCTTCCCTTCTGCAGTTCCAAGTCAACATATCGATCATAACATAATATCAGTTCTTGCTTTTCAATACATGTAAGACGTTCAAATTTGTTACCAAATATTTTATTGTTAGTAATTGTTTAATTTTTTTAATTTTCAATGGAATATTGAAATGGGATTTGTCACGAGGTCGTGTCACAGAAATGAGAGAGATAATTAAGGTTTAATAATATGAACATGGAATATGTATACTAGTACTATAATATATTCAATGCATCTTGTAGCTTACACTTGTTTTAAAAACAAACGTTACGACAAGGAAGTTCTACGGCGTGACTGTGTGTCGGAGTTTGATTCTACGTTACAACTTTAATTTAGTCTTCGCCGAAAGCTGTGGCCTTTGACATCTCATCAAAGGGCTTAGTTCCATTAAACATTTAATTTAGGAATCTTACCTATTAGAATTAGATTATATGGTCATGAACATATATGTTACTTTATTTTAAAAATTCTTTTTATACCATTTTTTCTTGTCCATTATTACTAAACAATTTTTTTTCTAGGACAAATGAATAAATTACTCCATAAATTTTAATTTTAATACTACCATAAACTTTAAATTTGTTTATTATACAAATTATTTTCTTAACTTTTAAAAACAGTGTAATTTGATTCTTAATGTTAATAAAAATTGACTTTGATAATTGGTTGACCAGAAAAGAATAAAAAAATTATATAAAAGAACTAAAAATTACAATAAATGATCCAAAAATTATAGATAAGGACTAAAAAAGTTACATAAAATGATCCAAAAAAACTTTTGTTCATTTTTTTATAAATTTTGAAGTTTTTCTATATTATTCTCTGATCAACTATAATTAAAGTTAACTTTTATTAATAACAGAGGATAAATTGTATCATTTTTAAAATTTGATAAAAAAATTTATATAATAAACAAATTTAAGATTTATGGAACTACAAAATCTAAAATTTAGGAGATAATTTATTCATTTATCTTTTTTTTTACCATGTGTTTGGCTAGCTACTTTAATATATCAAAGCTCCCCTATGGAATGCTGCAACTCTCCGTGACGCTAAAAGCTCAGGAACAGGATCTAATCTTGTTTAAAAAAAAGAAAATTCTTTTTTTGCCCTCATGCTTTGTTCACGCTTAATTCTAATAAAAAGATCATGGCATCAAGCTCGGGAAAACATTTGCAGTGCGGATATTACTATTATATATAACATTTGAAATAATATTTTACTGTTAGATTGTTTTCGTAATCTCCGGCAAGACTCAAGAAGAGTGGGCATTTTTTTTTTGGGAGTAGTTTGTTTTATCTGTATTGGGAACAACAACAAATATATATATATATATATATATAAATTTATAATAATCTATAAAAATTTAAAAATAAAATCCCCACGAGAGAATGTGGCATTAGAATCTTGTAATTGAATCGCGTCAAAAGTCACAATATTGGTTGAAGCATTTTTTTTTAATTTTTTTTTACCTAAGTTAGTTTAAAGATTAACGACTAAAACAGTAATTAAATTGTAGTTAGACCAGTCATGAATAAATTAAAACATATATTTAAACTAGTTAAGAAACTGTTTTAATAATTTACTATTTCTCGGTTGACCAGATTCGTAATATTATGATGTACAGAGCACTACACAGCTACGTACGCACTCTCCTTGAAGGGTGCATATATGGATAACACCGATTCATATAAGAAACGTCATCACATGATCTCTGTCTCAAAACCACTAGGTACTGTTGGAAGTTGGGTGCTTATTGCTCATAATCCAAGAATTAAAAGAAAGCATTTTTGTTCAATAGAGCCAAGGGAAAAGCGTAGAAAGTCAATAATAACTCATTAATAAATGCCTCAGTCGAGATGCTCAATACCATACGTTGAAGACTAGTCCTCAAAAAGAGTGGTTATCAGTTTGTTGGCACCTAACATTGAGTTGGCCTTATCCAGATTCTCAACTTCGTTTCAACGCTAGCTTACTCACTGCATTTCAGGATGTAAACGTGAATCTCTCTTCTCACTTAAATTTGCTCAAATCAGAAAAAAATTGGCATACATTCCAAAATAGCTGATTCAGATTCGCTTCGTTCTATCTAGGTTGTGTCGTGTGTGAGTGCTTTCAAGATTCTTACACCTAAAATTATTTCAGGAATTGAAACAGAACAATCAACAATATATCACCAGTTGTACGGAAAAGTATTAAGCAGCAGTCACCCAAATGATAGAATGTTATGTTGAAATATTTATTTATTTATGGATTAATATTAATTAATAAGCCCAAACAGGTTGGTCGTTATGATTTTATGTGGACCGTGATAAGAGGACTACACAAGTGAGCTCAAGGGGCAGATGCTCAATCCACAACCCAATAGCTGTCAGTTATTCTCTATTTCTTAACTGATTGAGTCAGAGATAATAATAAAATATATAATTATTTATTATTTAATAAGGCGGTTACCGATCTGATCTATATAAGACGATTAGTCGATAACCGCACACACACGACTCATTCTTCCACCTAATTATCTCTGAACTCTCTGAAGACTTTGGAGACTTGTGAGTTGTGCATCTGTCTACACTCGAGGTAATTGAGTTTTCTCAAGTGCTCATGAATTTATCAGGTACGCACAAAATTACTTTATTTATCATATCTAATTATATATATGAATTGAGATATTAAACCCAACATGTTATTAATAGTGTTCCCTTTATCTCAAATTATAAGACACTTTTAAAAAAAATCTCGTGTACCAATAAATCTCATTAAATATACCTAACAACTTTATCTTTTTAAAATAAAAATATAAACTTTTCAAAATACTCATCATTTAATATATTGAAAAGAGAAGAGGCAGAAATCCATTATAGAGAAAGAAAAGGTAATATTAAAATTTGTACATTTAATGAAACATTAATCTATTTAAAGTATCTTATATTTTGAAACGAAAAAACACATTCAACAATGCCCTATAATTTGAACGGAGGGAGTATAAGTTACCTGTGCTTTATGCAAATAAATTATCAATTTTTTCACCAACAAGGAATATATTCTCAGGGCACTTTAGTGGTGCAGTAACGCAAAGCTAGCATTGGGAATCTGATTTTCCATGGCATTACATTACTACCTGATTCCTTTCATCCATCTATTTACAAAGTTAGATCTCTCTGCGCATTTCCTTAACCCCCACACCTTCTTTTCACTTTTTCTTTTAAAAAGCAGTTAAAAATCTGAACTCCAAGAGACATAGGTTTTGAGTGAAGGGTGAGAGCTCTAGAATACGATAACCTTTTTAAAAAAAGATAAATAAAAACTGTAAAAATGTCGACATCATAGAATGTCCAACTGTGACAATATGTAAACCTGTTCATACCAATACTGCCCGTTTCTGGTCCTCTATAAATAGGTTACTTCAAGCCTCCATATCAGAACTCACTGGATTTAATTTCTTCACATAAAATAAGCAAACATGGGAAAGCTCTCAGTTTTGTTCTTCACTTCCATCTTCCTCTGCTATATTCTGACACAAGCCTCTCGCCCTCAACCATCTGTTCTCAAGGATTCCTCCCCTGAGACGCCACACCTGGTTCGTTCAATTCAATGTTTTTTGCTTCCCCCCCCCCCCCAAGATGCTCTGTTTCTGGCTTAATGGATTTCATAACTTCCATTTCACGACTTTGATTCATACTTCATACATCCTAATATGGGGTCTGTTTATTTGTGATCGTGAGTAGGGTGTTGAAAGTGAAACAGAGCATGAGGTGACGGTCGACGAGAGATGTGAAGGAATTGGAGACGAAGAATGCTTGACCAGAAGAACGCTCGCGGCTCACGTTGATTATATTTATACTCAGAAGAATAAACCTTGAAGTATCCTTAGGCAGTAACTACATTTATATACTGCAAGAGTACTACTCCTTCGATATTATGGGGAAAAAAAGAGAGGAACTGTTTATGATAATATCGTGTAACTAATTTACAGAGTAAGTAGTCATTACCTATGTGCTTGTGATGTTTGTAAGGGTTTTTGTGTTTCTTCTTCCTATTTTATAGTTTATCATAGGTCTCAATCCCACGAGCGGACATGTTAAATAATCTTGGCGATATGTGAGCTTTTCAAGCGACTATGAATTAGTTCATATATGTAGGCTGTTCCATCTTCTGGGTTGTGATGTTTCAAAATCTGTACCTTAGATTAGAAAATAAAATAATGGGGTGTATTGAAGTCCATAACTGTGGATTTAATGCTACTGTAAATTATTCAATTACTGACAAATACAATATACTGCCTCTATTTTTATTTGTAGAAAAAACTATCATTTTTTACTTGTATTTTTATATAAGCAAAATCATTTATTTCAATGAGTATTTACCACATATTTTTTAAATTACCTCTTATAATTTACGTTAACGAAAAATAACTAATGTATACTTATATCGATTAATATAAGATATTTTAGTCTAATGATTTTTATTTTCAGACATAATTATTATAATCAATTAATTTTTTTTAAATTATATGATATAATTTTTTTATATATATAAAAACAGAGAGAGCAAGTGATAATAAAGACCAGTGAGATAGAGAAGACCATGGCTTATAAACCTTGATGGAGAAGCCTAGGACAGATAAATAAATCACAGCACATGTACATATGCTTTTGGCTGTTGCAGAACTTCAAGCACGCATCATATGATTCCTCAATAATTGTACTGCTTGAGCTATTTTCAATTTTAGCGTCGGCGAAGTGCACCAACTTTGAAATCAAGAGGAAACAGCAAGTACAGCATCTCATCGAGTGTGGAATAACTTTAATCTGATAAGAATGGAGTGGCAAATAGAGAACCCCTCCATCTATGTGCTGAGAGAAAATAATTCCATTGAAAGAGAATGAATCCATTCATGAAGATTCCGAGTCGCACCCTGTATAAGTAGAAGCCATGTGTCGAAAGTGGAGAAAAAATGGGAGTTTGAGAGGGCAATGGAGTCAATGATCTTTGAGATCGTAAATATGAAGACAAGTGGAGAGATGATTGGGCATTAGAAAGCAGTACCCATAGGATGGGGGCTGCTTTCTAATGCCCAATCCTATGGGTACTGCTAAGCCGCCCTAAGCGTAGGTAAGAGGTCAACTTTAATGAATTACTCTATGCGATTCATAATGTTGGATATTTTTAAAAAGTTTTGCTTGGTCAGAATTACAAAATATTGAATAATTTTTACAATTTTTTTAACTATATTATTACTTTATTTATTATTTTTTTAAAAAATAATCCATTAAAATTGTATAGATTATTTAATGAAAGTAAAATTAAGAAAGCATTCAATTATTTAAGAAATTAAATTTTTAACTTTCAAACAGCTTTTTTTTTAAAAACTATAAAGTACTCATTTGATTCTATTTATAAGGTAAATAAAATATTTATTTTGAACCTATTTATAAGGTAGTTCTATAATTTTTGTATTTATCTTTATCCTTTTATCTATTTTAAATGTTAGAAATGTTATCAAATGTTATAATGAAAATGTTATAATATTATATTTTTAAAATAAACATATTTAATATGGATAAAGTTAAAAATTTATTAAACTAAAAAAATATAACTTTGAGTCTATGCACTTTACTTACATTTTGCTATAAGTTTTTGCGTTTTTTTTTATGTTCTAAGTCTCTATATTTTTATTTTTCAGTGTTTTAAGTCATTTCATGAATAAAGTGTAGGGACTTTTGAGAAATCTAAAACACCGAGAATTAAAAAAATAGGAATCAAGAACATTGAAAAAAATGTAAGAACCTATAGTAAAATACAAGCAAAGTGTAGGGACCCAAAGTTATACTTTTCCTTAAACTTTTACACAAATTTAATTTTAATAAAATATATTTAAAATAATTTATAAATAAAAACAGAAAGAGTAATTAATAATAGTTAAAGCGCAAAAATATCTGAGAATTATTTTGACAAGGGAGCCTAATATCCTAAATTTTTAATTAAAACAATGTCATCATGAAACTTTCAACAAGGTGCGATACGACCCTACTACTAAATATAAAAACGTTACCTGTTAAAAATGAGTTTTGATTAAGGGCATTTTTTACCAATCTTTTCTTTTCCATTGTTTGACCTCCTTCGCCTTCCTTTTCTTCCTTCTCTCTTCCTTTTTCTCCTTCTTCTTCTTTGACAAAGCGATGGGAATCGCATATCGCTTGGATGATGCTATGAAGATTGAGGGAGCTGGGGCGATACCCCCAGATGGTGAGATGGTGGAGAAGGCAAAGCATATCATCAACGTTATGATTCTTGGAGCAGAGCCTGTGAATCTTCTTTGTCTAGTAAGTCCTATTAGGGATGCTCTCTACTTGGGCCTTCGTTTTCAAATCTAGCATTATTAGGCTTCCATGAATGGACAAATGAAGAGGTGCTCAGATATCTAAATGTGATTAGAAGCGAGAGGATGGGGATATAGTTTTCGCAACCTGCTCTCGTTCGAGAGAGAAATCTAGGATCCAATGAACCTGGCATTCCGACTTCTTGGTGTGTCTAACATTAGATTAGAGATAGAAATTTTTTGACTTTTGACTTTTCCTTCGGTGATGAATCAAGTGGAGATGAACTTGGCATGGTGGCAGAAGAATTTGATGATGACGTTCTCGCCGCTAAGGAGGGGGCAAGTCTAGGATGAACTAGAACCTCCAAATCTTTATCTTTCTCCTACCTGCAATTTCTACCTCTCCAAGCTGCTATCCATGCTTTCTTCCTTGTTGAGTCTTGCAAGATATCTCCTCCTCACTTAGTGAAAATTCGCTTTCACTTTAATCATGATTTTTTTTTTTTTTACTTATTCACTGTTATTTCTATCTGCTGCCCATTGAGTTAGGATTCAGCTATTATTATATAGGTTAGTAGTTAGTGAGTTCATAGGAGTTTAGCCGCTCAATCCAAGAGATGGGTGGCCATCAAAATGCCATGGGGTTTGACATGAGCAAGAGACAATCCTAGATTGCATGTCATTGGGCTCAAGCACAAATGTTTATGAAATCGCAATTCGCTCCATGTCTATAGTCAAGCCTCTTGCTTTGACTAATCCTTTTTTTGGGTTGTCTTCTTTTACTTAAGATCTTCTTGTTTTCTTGAATTAGGTTCAAATTTTTGGAGGCTCTTCCATTGTTTCTCAAAGGGAGTTTGGCATTTCATCTTACCTGCTCGTGTTGGAAAATTAGGGATTGAGTGGCACCTCTCACTTAGTTCAATGTATGTCTGACTCTAATTTTATTGTTCCTTCCTATGCAAGTGGAAGCTTCTTTGAAATGGTTGGCACTTCCCCCAACTTGAGTTGATGCTTTCGTCTAAGGGGCAGGGGCTTGATACATTCGTTTGATCATGTTCTTCCATTCAATGGCGAATGAAACCATAGGAGAAAGGGAGGTCAAAATGGTAAAACGTCCATAGTCATACATCATTTTTAATTGTCAACGTTTTCATATTTAATGGTGGAATGATATTGCTGCAAACAAAAGTTGAAGATATCAATAATTTCAAGCAAAAAAATTTTAAAATATTTTTACCTTTTAACTCAATTAATAATGCCCTCTATTATGGACAGCAGGGGGTTTATAGACAGAAAGGGGTTTGTGGTCTTCTGAATTCCATGCGTGCGTATAATACTCAAAGTCGGCAACTAAGGCCCAACCCTTTTGGTTTGATCTGTACAGGACTCTTTGTAAATGGGTTGGAATGACCAAAAGAAAGGGAAAAGAAAAAAAGAAAAAGAAAAAATAATTTCAGCTTGCCCCGTCATGATCTCTCCTTCTTCTCTGCCTTTTTTTTCCTTTTTGTCCCGAAGGCTAAAACTTGGAGAACAAAATTAAGCTAAATTAGGTTTCATGGGCTAGTTATAGTGAACTATGTTATTAAGAAAAATCGAGAATAGATAGTTTTGGGTTATATAAAATGTAATTAGTTGATAGGACAACATTTCCAGTTTTAAATCAATCCTTCATTTCAAGATGATTATCACTTTAAAATTTGACCAACAGATGAAAGTTATTAAATGTTTTATATTACAACAAAATATAGTAGTATTTGATTAAAATATTTTCTTTTAAACATCTTTAGTTATTTTTGATACTCCTTAGGAATATTATTTTTCATTAATGAGTGAAAAAATAGTATAAAAATAGTTTTGCTTTCAACCTTTCATTGAACTTATAAAAGTAGTTTAGGCTATTTTCCATAATCTTGTTGTCTGGGTTTGGTAGGCGTTTTTTGGGCCATTATTAGTTGTCGGCCTTTTCATCGCAGGACCTTTATTGCTGGGGTTTGTTTTGGTTTTTATATTTTTCGTAATGAAATTATCATCTTTTGGGGCAAAAATCCCAAGTTCCAAGTAAAAATCATTTTGAAGCATAGGGACTTTATAAATATAATCAATGACGTCATTATGTCATCAATTAATTTCAATATTTCAAATATGAACTATCTTTGTTGGCCCAAAAAATATGAAATATCTTTAAAATGTTTATGACAACGTGTAATTGTAAATTTCATATAATACATAAGAAATTACTTCATGAGATGATTAAGAACCCGTTTGTTTAAGATATAAAAATAAATAATTTTTAATTAGTTTAAAAATTTATTAAAATAGATTTATTTTGTAGAGATTTTATAAGAAGCAAACATTATTTTATATTTAATTACAATAATAAAAAATTATTATTAGTTAGTTATTTTTAAATTATATAATATCTTCTTCAATTTTTGTTTTACAAAAAAATATATTTATATTATTTTAAAATTTTATGATATTTTTGCGTATCCTTCCTTTTTTAAATATTCTTTCTCATTTACCTCATTAGATTATTTTCAGAAGCTATTCAAAGTAGCTTCTTAAAATAATTGGAAATATATTTATTTTCAAATTATGATTATTTCTAAAAGCTTAAACAAACATAATAAAAACTCAAAGAATAATTTTTTTAAAAAAATAATTTTTTAATAAAATAAATTAAAACAAACGGCCCTAAATCAATATATTTAATTATTTGCATCTTGCTTTATGTTTATTAATCAATATACCTCAACTTCATTATGTTTCGCTTCATACATGTTATGAGTGCTTGTTTTTTTCATTTCACTTTCTATTTATATGTTCTGCGGCCCTATTTATCGATAATAAAATCTCAGTTAGTAATTGCATTCCTAGGAGTAAATATTTTAAATAATTAAAATTATAAGAGTTAACATCTGAAGACTTAATTATAATTGGATTAGAATTCTAAGAACTTAATTATAATAAATTAAAATTTAAAAATTAAATTATAACTGAATTAAAATTATAAGACTAAATTAATGTTTTCTTAAATTTTTAATCTTGGGATAAAAAATTAATGTTTTTAAGAGTACGGATCTAGACCTTTAACAGATTATATTGTTTTGGGCCTTTTGATATCTGGCCCATCTTGATCAGTGCCTCAGTCTTGTTCTCTGCATCGGTCGACCTCGCTCTCTCTTTTGATGGCGAAGAGAGATGATAGCTGAAACCTTGAATCTTCGAGGTTGAGGACGATTTCAAGTCAAGCACGCCGTAAATTTTGATTATGTTCGGTCGAAGTAGGTTTCTTTCTTTTCCGATGGTGATTGGAGCTGTTGTGTAAGTTGTCTGTGCCTAATTGGTTCTCTCTTAACTTTTGATTTCTGGATTTTAACCACCTTCGGCCCTCTCGTCGTATTAATTATCCTAATACCAGGTCTGTTGAATAAGTAACTAATTCACTAGTGGAAGCACAGTTCAAAATCATATTATTCGTATTCAGTAAGCGCAAATGATGTCTTGGACCTTGCGTTCATATTTCATGACATTGCTTGGTCCAACGTTTCTGCACTTGATTTCTTCATTCATGTTCATCTGTCTTTGTGCAGAGTTTCCCTGAATTGATTCTGGTTGCTTGAGAAAGTACCTTAATTATCGTCCATTGAGAAACTTACTGACATTATATTATATGATAAAATATATGATAAAACATATTTCCTTTGATGAATTTCTGTTCGTTGAAGGTTCTCACGAGAATTGCACTTTATATCAAATCCATCTTCACGGAAGGATGATTATTTGTAATACTAGATGTGGATGCATTAGAATGATGAATTTGAACGTAATTACTTCTTCCAAGAAGCGCTCTGTTACTTCATGTTGTGTAGTGTAACTTAAGCTGGGATTTACTTTGTTGAAACTTTGTGGTCAATATGCTGCTAGCAATGCTTAACATAAAACTAGCAATACTGAATGAGATAGGCAAACTAATGAACTTTAGGTTTCAAGATGCTGGACGGGTTTAGAGCCACTAATGCTTCACTTTTTCTATGCCTTTGTAATGTCCCAACCTCTTAACTGTTTATTTTTGCTTTTTTTCTTTTGATCAATGCCTTCTAGATAACATGATAGACATTTTGGTATTTTGTAGTTACAAAATGGTGCAGTTTTATATTTATTATATTTTCTCAAAGAAAAATGCATAAAAATTGTAGTTTAGGTTTATTTACTTTGAAAAATCATAAAAAAATACAAAAGTACACTATTTCATCACTGCAAAATATTAGAATGTCTCTCATTTTATATAAAAGATCAAAAGAAAAAAGAAAAGTAAAGTAAAGTTGGAAGGTGGAGTGCTACAAGAGGCATTAGAGGGGTGGGGCATTAGAGGTCTCAAACCCATGCTTGGCTCCCTTTCACAATTCAATAATTATCCTCATCTCATGATGCTCGCCCATTCCTTCTATCCATTGTCGGCAGAAACTTCTTAAAGCTAGTAATACTCAATTCCTCATGGAAATGAATCCTTTAAAGTTGAGAATCCGTGAATTTCATGAAGTTTACCTTTTAAGGAAGAGAGAGAAGATTTTATATTTTATAAAAAATAATAAAATGAGTGAAAATATCGAAAAAGGAAAACTTTACAGATATTTATGAATATCAACTTTAGAGGATTTAAATCTATTCCTCATAGTTTATTTAGTATAGCTAAATTACACAAAATATAAAAGATATATTGGAGAAGTCGTTTAGGGTCATTTAATCATATACTCCAGCGGAAGGAAAACGGAGTTCTGAAATGTCAATTGTCAAATGAGGACTAGAGCTTTGGTGGAACTGAGGAATGAAGAAAGTAATTGCAATTTGCGCCCAAGCTATCAACATGACTACTAGGGAATTTAATAGCAATCACTCCTGTTACGATGTAAGGGAGGAAACTAGAACGATTATTGACAGGAATTGGGATGTCCAAATTACATTCATGTGTTGGGAAAACAACTCTGATGTCGATATGCTGGCATGGGTAGCTAGGACTATTGATGGTAATTTTTGTACTTTTGATCCATTACTAACTTGCTATAGGGAGATAGTGGATGATGACAGGTTGGAGAACTCCTATTTTGAGCCTTTGTATTTTTATTTCTTGTGAATGATAATTGTAGTTGCCATTAAAAGAAAAGTTTTCCTGTTGGCTCCTGTCTACTACCTTGTGATGTCCTGTTCGGATATTTGATTCTATTGACTCATTTTTTTTTTTCATTTCATTTGTTCTTGATATTACACTTCGAATGAGCCTAATCTGCTCTAAGAATTTCAATTTGCTGAAATGTTAAGTCAAGTTATATGCTTATATTCAAAGATCTCATCGTCCTTTGGTTGTTTTTGTGTGGCCGTTGCAGGATCGGTGTGGTTTCTGGGAAGGCAATATTTGGCCCTCCACTTGATGAGTATTGGAAAAAGAAGCTTCAGGAAGAAGCATCAGCAAAGGAGAAGGACTCAAGCTCAACTTAGCTCTCCATCACATTAAGTCTTGTCATAATTTGGCATTTCTATTGGACTAAAGTTGACAGGTGATAGACAACATTTTTATTTTGGTTCTACTCGAAATAGCAAGTGCATCGGCTGGGCATGGTTGTTATAAGAAACACCTTCAGTTTCCAGTTGCTAATCATCAAGAATCTTTCCCCCGCCTCTACCTTTTTCCATTCTTTCTCTTTGCTGATTTGAGTAACCTTTGTATTCCCCTAATTGTTTGACTTTGCAAAGTTAATCAAAATAAATATACAGATATTTAATGTAAAATTCGTATTTATTAGCTACTCTATGCAAGCTTCATTGGTATTGATCCGCGCGTTATTGTCAAAGTTCATTTTCATTTCAGAAGTGAAAGAAATGATCCAAAAGAGTGGCTGCCACTAAGCACCAAGAAGAGTTTTATCACACAATCAGCAGTCCACTAGCTTCGTCTTGACGCACACTGTTAGTTGTCCATGTAGTATAAACGCAGTTCAAACAGGACGTGAAGATGCACATGCCTTGTACGGAGAAATGACTTCTACAGCTCAAACGAGACTGAAAATACCATTGCTGAGTAATAAAGTTAGATTACAAGGGAAATAATGATTCAAGCTAATTCCATCTTCCTCTTATACCCATACACTAAACTGAAAACAGTTACAAGATACAAGGATCATACAAAATATACATCACAAAACAACCACCTAGAACGCAATTCACCTGCTAATGCACAGAAACATAAAAAGAAAATGATGAAGAAGTTGATCTTCCTCCACGCTAAGCTCTTAACTGAATTGAAGAATTTGAAACCCCAAACAATTACAAAATCAATGCCCCTACCCTTAGCTGCACCAAATCCCAACTCCTATGGATAAGAACCTTTGGGTAATTCTCTTATCCAGTGAAGGATAATTCTTTTGTCCACTTAATTACTCTTCCCTACACCATTTCCATTCTCATAGATTATGCTATAGGCCTTAGGAAATGGTTTGTAAATCTTTTCCAAACCTTCAGCTTTATCAAAATATATCATATGGAATGATATATTTACAGCAAGATTACAATTTAAGAATTAGCTCAAGTCATTACACCTTTAAAAAAGTAAGACTTAATGAATTATATATAAGGAATTATGTATTTACAGATTCAAGAACGGGTACTAGTCATTACACCATCAAACAAGTAAGACTGCAGGATGAATAGATGACAACTTTTCGATAATGAAGTTATGGAAAAGTTGACTAGTCTCTCGGATGCAGAGGAAAGATTGTCGATACAATTTACAGGACTCTTCACATTTATCTTCATTGTGAAATCTTTCCCTGAAATAAAATTGACAATTATTTCTTTGACATACAAAGAAATCATGTATGTTGCAGCATCTTCCATGCATCAGCAGAGTCCAGATTTCCATTAGAATCCACATGAATGAATACTTAAGCAGGAACCAAAGCCCAAGCGCCACCCATTATGTGCAGGCACAAAGACAGACATATTGTAATTATAACTGCAGATTTGGCTGCTACATATCTCACAATCTCTACTATTGTTTCATGCACAACGTCTGCAAATCTTTTGACACAAGCACAGAACATCTCTAACACAAACTCCATGAAAGATCTAACCGTCTCAAATGTCACCTTCCCAGTCACATCAAGAATAAGCCTCCTATTGCTGGGAACTGCCAATGTAGATGATACCTTGCCCATCCATCCACTCTCTTTTTCTTCTTCTGAAACTTCTGCTTTTAATTCATCAGATGATGATTCTTCATCCAAATTCTCATTTCTAGCTGGACTCGAACCTTCTTCAATCGGCAAAGAAGTAGTTGAACTTGAATTGACATTTGGGTCTGAACTTGTTAGCACCTGGTGAGATGTCTTGACGAGTGTCTCTATGGCATTATTACAAACAGACACTACCATGTCTCTCACTTTACTCTCATGCTTTGGGTTAGTTAAGCCAGAGAAGAAATCATCATATGTGTTGATATGCATAGTCTTGTCAAGATAAACTGTAACTGCTGTACTCACAAATAGTTGGACGCAATTCCCGATTAGGTCTCTGCACTGATCACAGCAAACCGCATCCATCCATCCCGGCATAGATTCAGATTCCATATTGGAGGAGCTAAGGTGTCTGACACTAACCGTATTGCTTGAACTTGAATTTGATTCTCCACTTGGATTCCCATTTGAATAGAAACCGAGGACTAGGTTCCGAGCAAAGCTTCCAACAACTACAGAAACAAAGCCTGACCCAGCCGGGGCAAACAGTTTATCCACCAACCTATCCACAAGACTTGAACTATCGCTGGTTTGATTATGATCGGCGTTATTCAAAGATTGATAACTTTTCAAAACACCAAGAGTTAATGACTGTGTAACGTTGATCAAAGAATCTGAAAACTCACGAGACCGAGTTATTTTGGAAATTTGCTTCAAGCTATTAGGCAATTGATCGGAATTAGACTGCAAAAACTCTTTCATATCTCTGGAGACGAGCCCGACAGCTTCTGCAGATTCGGAGACTGCTTCAGAAACGGATATCAATGCTCCCAAAAGCTTTAAAAGTCTCTTCCTCTTGCGAGTGACTGAAGGCAAGTGATAAATTTTGAAAGCACCGTATCCAGTGAATCCAACAGCAGCAAGCAGAAAGAGCCACTTTTTTCTTTTACGGGCATAATCAAAACCCTTTTCAACCAATTGCAATTCCATGACCAGGAATTCCAATGAAACTCACAAAGCGATTATAACCTCAACTTTTTCTCACCTAACAAGTCGATAAATTCGTTCATTCATACATTCATTGAGATCACTTACAAGAAATTGAAGTTTCAGTGCTTTAAATGCTGATCACCTCTTTGTTGTGCTCCAATGAAGCGCGGCGAGAAATCAGGGAGACAGTGAACGAGATTAAAGAGAAGGTACGAAGAAGAAAGATCGTGTGAGGCTGGGCGGAGGAAAAGAAGAAATATAATGGGACGAGAGAGAGATATGAAGAAGAAGGGAATGAGGCGTAAGGGCGTTGAAGAAGAAAACAGAGACATCTCAAGCTTGGAAATTGTGGGCCTTCTATTCTTTGGTGGAGGCTATGACCCCAACCATCATTCTCATCATTCCACGCCACCACTCCAAATCTCTTCGCCCCTGGCTGCTTCCATTTTTTGTCTTTCTGGATTTTTTTACAAGCTGTTCACATCTATTTTTGATCAAGTTAAATTAAATTTAAAATAAATAATGTCACTAAAAATAGGTTACAATTACGTTATTTGAACTAAAAAAATAGATTACACACGGGGTGTTTTCTTATTAGACGCCATTATTTCGAAAGACAACATTGAACATGAAATACAATATTATTATAACTTATTTATTAGTTATATAATATAATTTAGGGGGAATTTTAAATAAGGACTAGTGGGTCCAAAGAAAAAAAAAATCTAAAACTTTAATTCAGTTCAAGAAAATAAAATGAAAATACTTTCACTTGTGAAAAGACTAAAATACCTTTTATTTTTTATGTGGAATGACTGGTTGTTAATTTTCTTACTTCATTTATTAATTTATTAATATGAATTACAAATTACATAAATTGATATGTTAATAATTATATAAGACTTGACATAAGTTGTTCAATTATAAATAGTAACATCAATTATTAAATTACTAATTTTACTTATTAATTTACTAACACCAGCTGCGAATTACTGATAAGTCTTATAATTTACTAGCATCAACTGCAAATTATTGACAGGTTTTATAATTTATAATGTAAATTAATAAGTAAAATTAGTAAATTAATAACTAATGTTACTGCTTATTTGACAAATTGATGTACTTTATAAGTGATATTTGTAAATTAACAAATGAAATTAAAAAAAAGTAATAACCAATGATTTATATAATAAGTGAAGGATATTTTAATTTTTTTATTGTTAAAATTATTTTTACTTTTATCTCCCAGGACTAAACTAAAATTTTAAATATTTTAGAACCTATTAATAACTAAGTCACATCCTTAATCCTTATCTAAAATTCTCCCTATAACTTTCAGGTTTCACATGGTACTGGCTTACTGGGTTTGTATTATTTTTTGGCAACATACTGGGTATGGATTATGGAATAAAGAGGAGGAACAATTTATACTATAAATTCAAAATAAATTAAACTTATAATTTTTGCCTTAAATACAAATAAAAAATATTGTTTTTAATATATTTTAATTAAAAGAGTTTATGTATATTTTCATAATCAAAATAGATAATATATGATTTATAGGTTTCTCAAAAAAGGATGGAAAAAGGATGCAGTATTTCGCTTCATTTTAACCCTTGATAAGTTTATTTTCTGTAGGGCTTAATATTCGTCATGAAGCAAGAGACAAGCGGCCACGTGGGATTTGGGCTTCCAAAACAACAAGAGGAAAATGCGTAGCCCATTTGTTTTTATCAACTACTAAAAAAGAAGAAAAATCAACTACATGTTAGTTTTTCTAATATATTACTTTTTCCGTCGTGGACATTTTTTAACAAAATTATACACATCAATAAAATTATTAAATATCATATGCGAGCGAATTATCTCAACAAAGACAGTAATTGCACATACAGAAATAGAGGACACTTTCACCAATCCCTTTAATAGGCTAACCCAAGATTTCATGAATTCATCACATAGTAAACAAAAATTTTCAGATTGAAAAATCCACAAAATGCTTCTTCAGAAGAAAGCTAAACGAATTGAATATTATTTTCATCAAGGGAATGAACTAGGCATTATCATTTTGACCTCAAACGTTATTATGTTTAACTATATCACATTTGAGCTCCAAAAATGTTACTAAGGTCAATCCAAATTAAATTAAATTTGTCTCAGACTGACTAGACAATAAAGTTGACAAGTGTCAAAGCGACCAAGAGCTACATTGCATCAAAATGCTTCAATCTAAGAATTCCTAATGTATCTTACTAATAAGAAGACATCCATAGTCTTGGCATGATGCTGCATTGTAAGAGGAGAATGCTAGAGAAGATGTAATGATTCAAATTTGAGGAAGAAAATTTAACGATGCTAAAATTGCCCAAAAATAAAATAAAATAAAAATGTAATATTAGGAACAGTCGCATCCAAAGTCATGCTACATAGATCTAATATCTTTCTATCAATAGTAGCTTATTGTTCTAATTCTTTTGCTTCTTATATGAAGTGCATGTCTTATTTACAAACAATAGATACTGATTTTGACAGACACAGTTACCAAATATCTCAAAGATCAACAATATAATCCATTATATAAAAAGCTTTAAAGTATTTGGATCACATGTGTCACCGAGATTAACAAATCATACTTGACATCACCAAAGGACATAATAAAAAGAAATGATTTCCATACTTTTGCCAGGCAAAATGGACATGTCTCTTCTGATGAATGTTCTAGTCCAAGTACCAAGTAGCAGGTAAAATATTTTTGGTATATATCTACTTTCCCGGGGGGGAAAAACATAGTTATCCAGAAAGACAAATAATACTTCTTCCTTAATAATAATATATCTCATGACATAAAAAATGAAAGCCTAGCATCGCATTCTCATTTTGATACATCCCCCACTTCTTATTCATATCTAAAAGTCTCTCATAATAAAATCAATATATATCAAGATCACTAGTCTATTTACAATGCTATATTGATCTCTCATCTTCTTTAGTTAAAAATGAGGTTGTTTCTTTTGGCTTACTCACTGATGGATTAGAGGATGGAGACGTTGAACATATATGATCACTAGCATCAATTGTTTGAAAATCTTGAGAATATTGAGACAATTCTAACTCTTGCTCTTCTCCTTCAAGCATTTCCACAATTTCGTTCATTGAAGGCCGATTGCTTGACTTGGATGGCCTTGTTGAAGTTGAATGATCACTATCATGATTTGCTGCTGGTAAGTCACTTGGATACAGATAAGGCTTTTGAGGCAATTCTAAGTCTTGCTCCTCTGCCTCAAGCATCTCAACAACTTTATTCATTGAAGGACGATCGTTAGGCTTTGTTTGAATGCACCACAACCCCACAATTAGCATTTTCCTTGCCAATTTCATTTCTTCCCCTGTTGCATCTGCTATGCTAATTTCATTTCCTTCATTTAATTGATCATAAACCCAAAAGGGAAAGTAAAACTGACTTGAATGCTCAACTAAGACATTTAAATTTTTCCTTCTACCAGTCATTTCCATTAATAGCATCCCAAAACTATAGATATCAGCTTTATAAGAGACCCCACCAACATTTCTGTAGAAAAGCTCAGGAGCCATGTATCCTATAGTTCCCCTTGCTGCTGTAAGAGACACAATGCTATTATTTGTAGGATAGAGCTTAGCAAGCCCAAAATCAGAAACCTTTGGGATGAAGTTATCATCAAGAAGAATGTTATGTGGCTTTATATCAAAATGCAGGATTTGCATAGCACATCCTTTGTGAAGATATTCAATACCACGAGCTACTCCTAGAGAAATGGCATACAATTGATGAACATTCAAGGATTGATCATTCTCATCAAGTTTAGAGAAAATGTATTTTTCAAGAGATCCATTTTGCATGAACTCATATATAAGAGCACGCTTTGAGCGTTCCACACAATAACCGATGAGTTGCACCACGTTAACATGGTGGATTCTACCAAGTGTAGAAACTTCATTGATGAATTCCTGACCATCAGTGTTAGCTTTATCCAATATCTTGACAGCTACATCACGACCACTTCGAAGTTGTCCTTTGAAGACAGAGCCAAAGCCTCCCTTCCCTAATCTTATTTTAAACCCTTTGGTCATCTTCTTGATATCTCTGTAGGAATATCTTATAGGCATGATGTTGTTGTCGCTTTGCAAAAAATCTTCAATGTTGTCATACATGGATAGATGTCTTCCCCGCCATTTGTAGATCAGAAGAACAATGACAAATGGAGCCCCGAAAACGCATTTACCGGCTGTATGAAAAACCGTTGATGAAACTTAATTTGTGAGACAACACAAATAATTAGAACGTGCTCCATAACTCGAAGTAGCATTGCATGATCTATGGCTTGGCCAGGCATTGCACTGTCCACTCATAGCTCTTAAAAACAAGCTGGAGAGTATGTTGAAGTCAAGAGATTACCTAATATAATGGGGAGGAGGTTCTCAATAAAGACTGCAAAACAGAGAAAATGAAAACTGATATAGTTTACAAAAGGAGAAAGTATAAAGATTACAAGTTTTTTCATATATAAAAGTCATTATCAAGTTAACTGGATTTAATATATATTAAGAAAATTATTATAAAAGTTTAAGAATATTGCAGACAAGAGTAATTAAACTAAAATTAAAGAATATAATTTTCTTAAAAGTTGATAGTAGTAATTATTTAAGTTTTCATAATAAATTTAATCATTGAAAATAATTATGATTTTTAAATCCTTTTAAAATAAATTTTAAACAAATTATTAGATGTAATTTTTCTATTGATGAAAGCATTTTACTAGGGAAAAGAAAAAAAAAATTGTGAAGCAAATTAAAGTAGTAAGAATCGAATCTCTAAGTTACAAGTACAAAACTTTTTTTTTCTTGAATTTTTTTTAATATCACATTAAAGCAATTTTCTAATATATTCTCACTGTTCTAAATTATAAGACAATTTAATGTAAGATTACACATACCAGTAAAATGCAATAATAACACTATACAAACTTACTTTAAAGAAAAAAAACTATAAACTTTCAAAAATAACCTTACACATTTAATTATTACTTTATAATATTATTTCAATTCTTTTCCTACTTGGGGTATAATATTAAAAAAAATCATTAATAAAACCTTATTTTTTTAAATTGTTTTATATTTTAGAATAAATTTTTTTTTTCCAAGATTGTTTTGTAATTTGGGATGGGGAGAGTAGGATTTAAATAGTTTTCCTCTTTAAATTTGTGGGTTAAACAAATTAAACAAAATTAACTCAATATATAACAATATCTACCTACATGGATGGCACGTGCCCGCATACACTGTATAAATCCTGAGATATCATCTAACTGAGGATTTATGAATAGTGAAACTTTTTTTTTTTTTAATTTCTTGTGGATGTGTAAACAATTTTAATTTAAATGGGCAATACGCGTGCTAACTCCCTTTCTATCTCTTTTATCACATACTATTTCTTTTAATTCTTCATACAGTAATTTTGCAAGCGTATTTTATATTATGCGTCCTACAACCAAAAACTTAGAAGTTGCCCTGAGATTACTTACATTGGAGGAAGAACAGGATATCTTCAAAAATGATATAATTTATACCTGCACCAGATAAGCAACTGCATTAATAACAATATGCATGGTCTATTTCACTAATATACTGTGGTGGATATATAAGGTGATTTGTTTTATCCATGATGTGATAAAAATGATGATTTAAAACACACTTTAAATATTAAAAAATGATATTGTAACTTTTTTATTAGTAAATCATGTTGTAACTTGGAGAGTATAAATCAAATTAAATGAAAAGAGAAAACAACTGAAAAGCCCATTTCTTTGTAATTGTTTTCAATGTCAATATAAATCCAGAAAGATTTTATTTTGTAAGAGTTCAAGCTATTAATATCATGAGTTGCACATCCTATAGTTTGACTGTACTAATTAAGGAAACCGATGAAGAGACATTGTGACGTGAGTGACCGTACTTACTACAAATATAGCATGTTTGTATTATCTTAATCTTAAAATTTCGATCAATAATTATAAATTTATATTTTATTTAAAATTATGAGTGAGTGAGTGAGTTTATCTAAACTGTTGATTTTGATTCTAATGATTCAGATAGTACAAACATTCAATACTTATATTAGGTATAGTCTTTGAATTCAAATTCATGAGGTGAGAGTGAGAGTGAGAGGCATAGAAAGACTTTGTAATTAAAAAAAAAATTCAAACTTTCAAGACACATTTAATAATTTTATGTTATAAACACATGTTTAATTTTTTTTAAAAAAGTATAGAACCAAAATGTATGACTAAAACATTAATTAAGGTCGAATTATTATTGTCATCTCTTAATTTGTAAATTTATTACTTCCTCTACCTTAAATTATAAAACACTTTTAGATAAAATTTTACATACCAATAAATTTTATTAAATACACTTAACAATTTTATCTTTTCAAAATAAAAAATATAAATTTTAAAAAATACCCATCATTTAATATATTAAAAAAAAGACATAAAAATTAATTATATAGAGAGAAATGATAATATTTAAATTAGTGTATTTAATAAAATTTTAATCTATTCAAAATATTTTATATTTTAAAATAAAAAAATTTCTTTAAAAATATATTATAATTTGAGACGGACGTAAAACCAAGATGGATAATTGAGAAATGAATTATTTATGTTAGAAGGGGTTGTACATTAGTCCAGTTAGCCCAATAAACTCGAGCAGGACTAGTTCAGAAAACTGCAATTATTTGTATATAGATATAATATACTATAACATATAAAAATTGAGAAGAATAGTATATATATTTTCATATTTTCTAATTAATTTTCTTGCCAACTTATATTTTCTAGTTAATAGTGTTTTTTTAGTGAAAACTGAAAAACATACATAAACAAAGGTCCAACAGCGGAAACAAAACAAACTCTTAAAAATCATACTCCCTCCGTTTAAAAATATAAAATATTTTTAAAGAGTTAGATATTAAAAAATATAAAATATTTTTAGTCTTTCAAAGTATATTAATTTCCTTTTTTTTAAAGTACCCCTATTAATAGTGACTTTGTATTTATTATTAGGTGTTTAATAAGGATAAATATAAAAAGATATAGTTAGTTTAAAAGTAGATAACTACTTTATTAGAGTAAAATTTGGTTAAAAATGCCTTATATTTTTTAATAAAGAGAGTATCATCTTTCATCATCTTTCATATCTAAGGTTGAGCCTGAATGATGATTAAAGACCTAATAATGTTATTATCATTTAGTTTCTATTCTCATTTTTTATTTTTAAGAATTATTTTATAATACAGTTTTTAAAATTATTTTTCCAAACAAAATAAAATAAAAATTCATTTATTTACATCGATTAAAAATAGTTTTAAAATTAAAAAAATTGATAGTGCTGATTACAAGAACTTAATAGTGATAATTAATAATAAAAATTGATTAAAGGAACTATAATTTTTAATAATTAAACATAGAGTATTTTAAAAATAAGAAAAATAAAATGAAAACAATCTAAAGTTGTTTCTATTTTTTTATTTTTAAAAATAAAAAATGAAAACAGTTTTAAAAACAGTTAAATAAAAAACATATGTCCAAATAAGTTTAAAATTTTTTATTTTAAAAAATAAAAAATAATTTTTAAAAACATAAAACAAAACCATTCAGTCATTTCTTCACTAAAAAATAAGTAATTTCAATTTTTTTGGGGACAAAATTAAACTTCGGCTTTAGCTCTACAGGGCGCAACAAAGAAAACCGATAGCCTCATCCGCACCAGCATTCCCTTTTTCCTTAACCTTCTCCTGTCCCAATTTTTATTTTATTAATTTTTAACCTTTTTTTATTAAAAATATGAAAAATGTATCCTGAAAAAAAAAAGTACGAAATTTTAAATAAAAAATTAAAGTTGCAACATATCAGTAATATTTTCCTAACCAACAATCTTCATTTTCATTTCAGTACTTTCTCCCCCCATTTAACCACATGGAAACACAGAATAGAATGTCCAATTCAAGTGTCAGAATAAAAAAGGGCTCCATAGACATGTAATTATTAATTATTATTCATAATATTAGTTCAAATACTTTAGGGTAATATAATAAAAATTTTAAAAATAAAAAATAAAAATGCATTATTCTCTCCAATATTATGAGACATTTTAACAGGATTATACCTTCAACAAGTTAGTCAATTATCTTTAAAATTATATTCTTTCCATATTTACCTTTATTTAATAAGTTGTTTCAGTTAAAAAATCTTTTTAATTGCACTCCTTATTTAAGATTATTTTTAGAAAAATCTTGTTAATTACATTTTAAAATAACCAAGGTGTCTTTTCTTTTGTAATATCTCACCTTATAAAAAATATCTTATATTTTTTAACAAGGGAGTATAATTTTAAGAAAACTAAATAAACATAATAATATCAAATAAATAATGTTTTGTTGGTATACTTATAAATATATATTAGAGATGATAAAATATTTTTACATTTTAAGATCATATTTGTCTCAGTTATTGATTGAACATAATTTTCTATGATCTTTTTCTATAATAAAATTATTAACATTTAATTTTCAAGATATACAAAAAAAAATTTGGTCAAAAAAAAAGATATACAAAAAAAATTTAAGTAAAAGTTATTCTTATTCATTATCAAATAATGTTTTTATAATAAGTAGAAGTTATGATTAAAATAAATATAAAATAATTTGAGAAAACTTAAATATATATTGTTATACTTATTTCTTTTACAAAAATGTTTAAGAACAAGTTAACAAATGAGTATGATTTTAATTAAAAGTTTCTTCAAAACTCAAATTTCAAAATATTAATGGCATCTGGGGAAAACATTAGGAAGGGGACAATGACAAAATTGTACGGGGAAATACATAATTTTTGCCCAACATTCTAGGCACAATTTTTCATTTTTACTATTTATATAGAAATTATTTCTTGGGCAACCAATTAACTTTAACTCATATACTTGCCTAAGAAAATTAATGTAAAATAATCAGGATTTTCAATTATAAAAATCCTTGTTTTATCCAAAAATTATAAAAATCCTTTAATAATTTTTTAAAAAATGCAACCAATTGGTTCCTATGTTCAAAGCATGATAGATTTGGATCAATTCCAAATAAAAGGGATGACTGTATGGATTTAGAATTTGCCAGAATTAAGAATGAAAAATGCCCAAATAAGCTCCAGATGAATCATCGTTATTGACAGCCAGAATTGAGGAACTTACTTGAGCCAGCGCAATGGCGTTGCTTACTTTCATCGAGATATGCATAACCTCCAACTTTGAGGCAGTCACTGTTCAGCCAAGAAAGCTCAAAGCCGTAAACAAGCATATTGTGGATGTCTTCGCAGGACCAGGACTGGTTCTTTGGAGCAGGCCACGATGTCATATACATTATCTCTATACCACAATCGTCCCCTAACCCCCATTCCCCTGCAGTTTCTCTGCCAATTACGCTCGCATACACATACGACGACGCAGCAGCTACTGACCTGCTGGAATTTTTGAAGCAAGGGGCTGTGTCCACAAACACTGAGGCATCCACAGGGCTTTTACACCGCACGTATATCATAATCTTTGTCAATCGATTATAAGCCCCAGATCCATCTTCATAATTTGTTTCAATGGTAAGGGCATATGGATCCCGATAGCTAAAGTTGTAGTCTGTTAAAGAATCTCGGGGCAGGGAAGAGTAATTCAACTCCACAACTTCAGCATCCCTCACTCGGATTGTATAGTTCTCATAGTTAATGGACAAGACACTGTATCTACCAGATTGCGAGTACAGCACCAATTGGTTGTGCTCACAAGATAGCTCATACCTATGATCACCACACTGCTCTGCAAAGTCTCTCAGACGGAAAGGGCTGCTCACGGTGTGATGTCCGCATAACCCAGAACAATTCTTGTATCCATCTGACGCCTTGCAATTTTTGTAGAACGCCACCATCAGAAGCAGCGCCACCAGTAAATGTGCTGATGAGAAACACATGTTTCTTATCATGAAGATGTCAAAACGAATAGAAATTTTAGCGATCCCAAATCCCGAATGACTCGAAAAGTCCCAAAACCATATATTTCTTGCAACGCAGAAGTTGCCTAGAAATTGTTCTGACGTTGACACCTGACAGCTTGACATCACTGTTGACAATTCAAAAGGTGTTTGTTCATTGACGCAAGCACGTACATCATGCATGGAAAAGTCTCCTAGAGGTTCCTATTTGAGATGATAATAGGAACTTATCATCTCATCTTGCTCCTTTGGGGGAAGCCAGGACATGGAAACTTCAACTGCAAACTTCTCCTTCTCTGTTTGCTTGTTGCTAATTCTTGGGCTTTCACAGGCTATCGGAAGCTGGAAGAGCTGTCCAGGACCTGAAACAACATGTGGAACCCTGCCTGTTCGGTTTCCTTTCCGAATAAAAGGTCGTCAGCCGGAACAGTGTGGGTATCCGGGGTTTGCTTTGGAATGTTCCTCAACCAATCACTCTGTTCTTGAGCTCCCTGGGCCACTCAAGCTCAATGTAAAAAACATTGATTACAGATCCCAAACCATCGAGTTATATGATCCTTCTGAGTGCCTTTTCAGGCATGTTCGTAACCTTACTCTACTTTCTTCCCCTTTCCATTTCACAACCCACTATCTTTATAATTACACCTTTTTCAACTGCTCAATACCAAAAGATGGACAACTAATTTCAATGTGCCTGAGCAGCTCAACCTATCAAGTATATGCCGTTGATTCTGATGACGAGATTGCAGACCTCCCCTTGTTATTTTGCAGGAAAACATTCAACATTTCAAGCATCCCATATGATATTTTTCATAATGATGCCACTCTTAATTTGATGTGGTCTCATCCAAAGTGTAGCCATTGCGAGTCAAAAGGAACCAGATATCGATGTGGATTTAAGAACATGAATACCAGTTATGAGACTGCATGTTTCGAGGTTCGTCACACAGGTAATATGGATCCCTTGTATATCATTCAGCTAAACTGGCCATAGCTGCATCCATGAATACAATTTCTATTGAGCATACAAAATCGCATTAACGTATGCATTTATTGTCTCGTACAAATCATCAGAGTTCTTCATCTGATGACTCAATTGTGTTAAATATTAATGTGAACATGCTAAGCTGACCAATCATGTTAATTTCCTTTGCAGGTCAATCAAACAAATTTGTAATTACAGGTTAACTTCAAGATAACCTTGTTATTTTCTTCTAAATGCTAATTATAGATTTTGAAACTAAATTCGAGTTACTCATATATGCATATATGCAGGATCAGTCTTGGGCTTACTTCTTTTAGTGGTAGCTTTGTTTGCAATTGATTACATTTACAACTCTTACAAATCACAGAAAGAAAGCCAAGCAATAATTGAAAAGTTTTTGAAAGATTACACAGCTCTCAATCCCACTAGATATTCTTATGCTGAAATTAAGAGGATTACCAATCAATTTGAAGACAAGTTGGGGGAAGGATCTTTTGGTACTGTGTTCAAAGGAAACATTTCATCCCAATTCGAAGTTGCAGTAAAAATCCTTGCTAATTCTGAAGGAAATGGTGAAGAGTTCATAACTGAAGTCGGAACAATGGGCAAAGTCCATCATGTTAACATTATTCGCTTAGTAGGCTTCTGTGCAGATGGCTTTAGAAGAGCACTTGTTTACGAATACCTACCGAAGGGTTCATTACAAAATTTCATAAATTCACCTGACAATAGCCAAAACTTCCTTGGTTGGAAAAGGCTACAAGAAATTGTTTTAGGTATAGCCAAAGGCATTGAGTATCTTCATCAAGGGTGCGAGCAACGCATACTTCATTTTGATATCAAACCTCACAATGTCTTAATTGACAATGACTTCACTCCAAAAATATGTGACTTTGGGTTGGCCAAATTGTGCTCCAAGGATCAAAGCATAGTGTCAATGACTAATGCTAGAGGAACTTTGGGTTACATTGCGCCAGAAGTCTTTTCTCGAAATTTTGGAAATGTGTCTCACAAAGCAGATGTCTATAGTTTTGGAATGTTGCTCCTTGAAGTAATAGGAGGGAGAAGGATTACTCGTGATACAAAAGAAAACGCTACCCAAATTTACTATCCGGAATGGATCTATAATATTTTAGAAGAAAGGGAAGATATGAGAATTCATATTGAGGAAGAAGGGGATGCTAAAATTGCAAAAAAATTGGGAATAGTGGGATTGTGGTGCATCCAGTGGCATGCTATGGATCGACCATCAATGCAAGTAGTGGTTCAAATGTTAGAAGGACAAGGAGATAAACTACCAGTACCTCCAAATCCTTTTGATTCTGAAGGTACTTCAATAAGGAAAAGAGCTAGTGTGCCTACAAGAAGTCTGATGCAAGGTTTAGAAATAATTCAAGAAGTAGAGTGACAGTCAATAATTGTAAAATTATTATATTAACTATCTTGGTTTGATAGATTTGGAGGTTTGTCTTTGGTTTGTGAGTTGTTCTTAGCCACTATTTATGTACGTTATAAATTGTTTGAGCCTTGAATCTTCAATGTAGAAGAATTCATTATGCAACGCATATACCTAAGCCTTCTTTGTTTTTTCATGCGGTGTGTTCAAACCAAGCACAAAATTACAATTTATGGTCAACATTTATAGCTAACAACTTTGAAAATTGATCATCTCTACATGTAGTTTTCTCAATACTGATTATTCTATACATATAATCTAACTGTAATATTGGTATGATGATATGATCTAGCAAGAAAAGGAAAAAGAATATCTCATTCAAAGAGTTTTCAAGTATCTCGTACGTAATTAGCAATTTTTCATTTATAAATACTGATTAAAACTTTCTAGTAGATTTTTTGTAATTTTCTACTACCCTACATGAAGTATACAAAGAAATCACTTGAATCAACACAAAAACAGGTCTCAATAAGTAAATTGTTTCGCTGATTTTTTTTTTTTTTAATGTAGGGGGAATAATCGATCTTCTAAGATTGAACAGATTAGGTCACATAGGGAAAGAAGCATCAAGATAGAGAATAATGAGTATGTATTTAGTAGGGATTAAGAACACAAACAAGGAAAATTGAGTTTGTGATGCATCCCAAAATTGGCACATCTTAAAATTCAGACTTAGATTTAAATACAAGAGAGTGCATAGCAGACCATATATAAGAAATTAAATTGATAATTGTAATAAATGCTATAGCCGGTGGAATCTCAACTTTGGAAGTTCGCACGAGAGAAAGATATGAAAAAACAATGCATATAATGTGGGGAAAATATCTATCAAAGGACGTTGAAAAAAATTTATATCATTAAAAAATCAATAGATTTTAAAATTGCATTGCAATCCATTGGTTCTTAGATAAAATTAACTTTTTATGTGAAATGACTAAATCAACCCTAAAATGACAAAAACAATTTTTAAAAAGTCACCCCAACTATCACTAGCATTGTCCCACCTGAAAATGCGATGCGGACGGCATGAGAGCGGAGATTCCGGCCTTTGGAAAGAAGACTGAAGAAATAGGAGTCACTACCAAAATTTTGAGGAAAATCTTGAAAAACCGTTTAAAGGAGAATAAGGGTGGTTTGCGAAAACAGAAAATAGTTTCGGGAGTTGATTGAGTGTGGGAAAGTTGTTAGACACCCCATAACACCCGTTCGTAAGAACAGTTATCTGAAGTTTGTTGTGCTATATAAATATGGTTTTAAAATATTATCCCTTTTATATTCATGTGTTTGATATAAAAATGATAAGAATTAAGTGAGAAATATTTATTTATTTACGAGGAAGGACTTGACTCAAAATCCGGCTCTGAGGCCTATGTACCCTGTGATGGGGATCAAAATCCATGTAGTTCGGGCTAAAGACTAGTGAAAATATTTTTTTGAAGAGAAATTAATTAGAAATAATTCACCATTTTGCAAATAAAATAATTTTTTAAAATTTTGATATGTGTGTTTTAAATTACAAAAAGTAATTTAATTTTAACTATTTTTTCAATTTTTAAATTTTTGGAATAAAGAAAAGAAAAGAGTTTAAAAATTATTTTTTATTTTTATTTTATATTTTATGACGGGAATTTAATCGCAATACCTGCAGAGCTTTGATGGCTCATACAGTAATACAATTATTTTATATATCTGCAGAGATTTCAAAATCTCACATGATAAAAGAATTTAACAACTTAATTTATTTATTTATATTCTTATGTATATTTTTAAGTATTAATAATAATTTTTTAAGCATGTATGTACCTATATCCTTTTTTTTTAAAAAGACTCTTAATTATCATACCTGTAAAGCCTTATTAATTTTTATGGTAATACGATTATCTTAAATATCTGCGAAAATTTAAAATCCTCACACAATAAAGGGTTAAATAATATATATTTTAAAGATATTTTAATGTGTAATTGTACAATTTTTATTTTTAAACATAGAAATTTTAATTGCTATACTTGAAAAGTCTTATTAACTTTTACGGTCAGATGATTATTCTAGAGGTCTATAGACATTCAAAAATCTCATATGACCAAAAGATTTAATATATTAATTTCATTAATTAATTTTATTATATAAAAAAATTTATAATTTTATTTAAAAAATTTATTTATTTATTTACCATATAAATTGAGAATCACAAAACTTATGAGGATTTATTATCTTATACAATAATACACTTAATTTAATTCTCTATGGAGATTCTTGAAATCTCTCATGAGACTTAAATATTTTATTGATTATAAAAAGAGAATTAATTTTGATGATGAGTCTTTGGAACCCATATTATTATACAAAATTAATCCTTATACCTGCGAAATCTTATTGATTTTCACGATATAGGATCATTTTAAATTTAAATGTTTGCAAGAATTCTTGAAATCTCACACTGCAAAATAGATTTAAATATTATACATTATTAAGAATTTTACAACCAACAAATAATTGTGAAGTTCACAGTTAGAAATAATTTCAATGATAGCCTAAAACATGCAAAAGTACAAGGAAAATCCCAAAACACATAACTTGGTACAA